CACTTTTTTACATTAAAACACACACATGCATATTTACACCAGTACATAAAATGAAATAATATTCAAAACATACTATATAACAGACTCTCACTGCTGTCAGTGCTACAGACTGGTTGCAGCACTGAGCAACCAGTCAAATAGTAAACCACCTTATATGCAGTACTAGTATGTACTGGCTTCATATTAGTTCTATGGATACATGCTGCACAAAGTTAAGGAAGTACTAACTTTTTACCAGACATGAATGTTTAATTGTATAAAATTAAACTTTTTGTCTGATAGTTTTCCTTATTCATTATATCAATATGAAAATCTATCTTTACTCTGTGGAAAAATGTCCATGATGCACTGATAGACTACAATCAGTGATAGTCTATTACTGAATTTGCCTCACTAGGAATTAACTTTTTTCTTTGGGGGCTCTCCTTGTCTGTCTTTTATTTTCTAGTAAAACTCCAATCCAATATTTGGAGTGTTTTCAAGCTTCTTTTCTCTGCCTCTGCAATTTTTTTCCCAGTAATATATAATTTATTAAACATTGAAAAGGATCTTCATACTTAGGATCAGGAGAAATCATACAACATTTAATTATGTTTAAAGAATAATACTTAAATCTGAGAAAATGTGAATGAATAGTTTTTACAAAATATCTTATTTTTGGCATGAAATAAATCTGAAGTTCTCTGATATTTTCCAATCTTTAGAAAGACACTAAAAATACTGTGTGTTCTCCACTGATAAATGTGATAGACTAAAGCACTCTTCAGATTTTGTAGGGTATCTTTGAAATGTGTACTACAGAAACATCCTAATATTATTGCATGGTTTACTCAGCTCTTCAGCACATTTTCATATGTCCTTGTTTTCTATAGGGTTGCCTTAGTAACTCTCTAACTAAAGTAATTTTCTACAGTTTTCTCCAAATACTACTTATGTAATTGCTCAATTTAGTTATCGCAGAGGAAGGAAATAATCTAATTCAAACTTTGTTTGCTTCTGATTCCAATAGTTTGGAGACCAAAAACCTTCTAGTGAAAACAGCTAAAGGTGTCAGATATATTAAAACAGCAATCATAGCCCTGGCTGGCGTAGCTCAGTGGATTGAGCGCGGGCTGCGAACCAAAGTGTCGCAGATTCAATCCCCAGTCAGGGTACATGCCTGGGTTGCAGGCCATGACCCCCAGCAACCACACGTTGTTGTTTCTCTCTCTCTCTCTCTCTACCTCCCTCCCTTCCCTCTCTAAAAATAAATAAAATCTTTAAAAAAAAACAACAAAAAACAGCAATCACATGCAATACTGTAGAGGGATGATGGATATAATTTGATTTCTTTTATTATTCCAGGGAAGGATACATTGATTAAATTTGGTCTTCATAAAATAAAGTGTGCATATTACAATTTAAAGGTAACTAATTATCAAATTAGAAGGGAAAGCATGACTTCTAAAGCAATAATAAGGAAAAGAGAAACAAACACCTAAACATTCCAATAGAAAGGTAGGAAGTAACATGAGTTGATACAAGTCTAGTAACTAGGAAATAACCTACACACTCAAGAAGTACAATATATTTAATTTCAAGTTGTATATAATTGGACTTAATTTCTCTGTAAGTTAAATAAGCTTCTGTTCCCAACATTTTTCTTAGATTAGCAACTAAATTCTAGCATGGCAGAATGCATCAGAAATGATGATATGGACCTCCATTGTCGATGTCAAAGTAACCAACCACACATATAAAGTACTTAGCATGGTGTGTGGCACCAAGTGAAAGTTAGCTATTTTCTCTCTCTTGAGTTCTGAGGCAATAGTGAAAATTGTATTAGCTATCTCTTTAGTAACTCCTGTGGTGGGTGTGATGACAGTGGTTTGCAGAGTAATGTCCTGTGTTTTTGTGGAGGAGAACTCAAGCAGTGTTAACTTAATATGATCTTTGGAAGTGTGGGTAAAGGAGAAAGAGGAACATTGTTACTATTTATGTGCATTGATTGTTCATTAACCTGACATATTGATTTCAGATTTCTACTTTATTATTAATAAATCTGTGTGGTGGGTGTATGTATATGTTAGTTTTCATCTTTAAAGTACTTTCACCATACATTTTAAGACACATTATACTTAGGATAAAGAACTCAGTCTATAGTCAGACAAACATATCTGAATAGAGTATCACTAGTACTAGTAATTCTGGTCCCACACTTCTGTGTGCCTCTGTTTCTCCTATAAAATAGTGTCAGAAATACTGTTAGGTTCTCCAAGAAGCAGTCATCCTGAGACAATTTAGCATGCAATAATTTTATTAGAGAAAATGCCATTGAGAAGCAATGGAGAGCAAGCTGGAGGATGTTGGAAGCACCATCAGATCATGACACACTTAAAGTTGATGCTGCTATCAACTTAACCCAGAATATAAGATTATTGTTTTATGAGCATAATGTGATACAAATGCTTATACCTGGTTATATCCCCCATTTCTTGGAAATGATTATACTGTTATTGCTGATGATAGTACATTTTAAAAGCTATTTATTGAGTATTGTGTTCTTAGTAATTTACATATAGTTTCTAATTTTTCAGACAAGATGGAGAAATTATAACTAGAGGAGAAAATAAATAAATTTTCTAAGGTCATGAAACTGGTGTCAGAGCCTGCATTGTTACCAAGGGCTGTATGAATATGAAGCTTTTGCTTTATCTGTTACGTCAGTTGGCATGTTTAGAAAGTCACTAAGTCATAAAAATTACCAGAACTCATGTATTAAACCAAAACCTCGTCAAATCCAGGGCACCTCTGCAAAAATGCTCACCTGAATATTATTGGAAATACTGGGACATTCCAAACCTTTTCTTCCTTTGATAAATAAACCACTAAAGGTTTTTAAAAAAATACTTCTAAAAAACTTAGGAGAAATTAAACATTTTTTACATGGTATCTTCTCACATGCAACATCTAGAGAGACTGAACATTTTGGTCAATTTTGCACTCAGTGTGCAGACAGTAAGGATGGCTCTTCCATGTTTTGATGCCCTCTTAAACCTTCCTTTAGTAGGTTATGCCATCTGATGGGCAATTTGGCTTTGCACCATTTCATTTGTCACATTGTTTACCTAATATTAAGTAGCTGAGACTAGAATAGGGCTCATAGAGGTCCTTTTTTTAAACTTTCCATTACACTTATGCCCTCCTTTGTCTTGCCTTACAAACTCACTGGGGACAATACAACAACAAAATGCAAATATTCATTTTTTATTCCTATGGTGTTCATTTTTTATCACCAATTAAAACTAGCTCAAGGGAAGAAAATAAGAAGAAAGAGTGTCAAAAAATTGTTCTTTTCTGTCTAAATGTAAATAGCTGTTCTGTTAAGAAGTGGGACTACTCCCACCAAAACAAAGAGTGAAGTATATTTTCCTCAAAGCAAAACACTGTGTATGCATGTAAATGTGTATATTATTGATAACATTCCCTATGAAAGTCTAGCCAGGAGGAAAACATGACATACTTTTTAAACAAACTGCCTTTTTTTTGACAGACACACTTGACTTTGAATAATCCCATTACAACATTGAATTTAACTAGTATGGTTTGAGAGATGTGAATTGCATTTCCCTGTTGTGTCATGTCCTCAGGAATGTCTGATGACATCTCCTGATGTCATGTCCACACTTGAGCAGACTTTATACCTGGAAAATACTTGTTTGTTGTTTTAGGAATATACTTTTTGTAGCAGTCTTTTAGTTTTTATACAACAATCTCTTAGTTTTGCATGGGATGTGTCTCTTATGGGCAAAATAGTACATTTTAAATTATCTTATTTGGGGAATTACAGGGTCACTTTTATTTCCTGAATTTTACAGTTCAGTATGTACAGAAGAGTTACAGTGGTATTTTTAATACAAAGTAAATATTTGTCTTCTGGAAAACTATACTTTATACACACAGACAGTTCATCTTAAAATAATGGATAAAATTGAAATTAACCCTAAAATCTTTAAAACAAGAGAAACTGCTTCAATTTAAACTAATCCAGAGTAAATGGACTTAGTTAACTTGCATTTGTAAAAATAAAACTTCTTAACTCTTTGCTACAATTTAGTTTTAGACATTCATTTACATTCTCTAACAAAGAACCTTTCATACTACATGGTATTTGTGGAAAAAAAACCCTTCATGTACCATATGTGGAATTTGACACCTAAGTAACCTTTTACTGGTCCAAATGTTTTTTAGATATTAAGTGCCACTTCATTCAGCACTATTTTTGTAATTAGTCTTTGTAAACTGCACTTTAAATTTTACTACTGCTCTGAAGTCAGACACACAGCTTTATTAATGAATCAAGAAATGACTTCCAAGTTGAAAGCATTCTATTCTACCTAGTATCAAGGCATACTAGATGAATACCCTAGAGAATACCCTTTTAGAATACTATTGGACTGAGCTTTGGCATCTTTTATCTAAAAATAAAATGGTACATTCACAACTGCACATTTTGAATCCAGCTTCCTTTTTTATTCATGAAAATACACACTGAAAATTACTTCCTTCCAATTACTCTTAAGGCTAAACTTTTGCTAAATCCTCACAGAAAGATTTACTTTTTGTTCCAGTTGACTTTGTCTCCACATAAGCATAAACATATTTTGTTTCAAAGAAAGCAACTGAAGAAAAAAAAACATAACCAATGGTTTTAGGCAAGTAACGTTACAGGTTGTGTAACAACTGTTAATAGCTGTTTCTAATATATACTGCTGGAACAAAACTACATTGATATTATATTATCAACCTGCTCTCCCACCCCTTCCAAACAATATTAAGATTCTTGGAAGCTTGGTGTTTACAGAACTAAACCTTCCTAGATGTTAACACTGAGCATCTTTGCTAGTTACTGTGTACTTGTAAGTTCACATGAGGAAGTTTTAAATTCAAACATTTTAGCTAACTGAAGTTTCCAGAATTTTAGTAGACTTTAATAATTTCGAGAGTATCTCATAAAGACTTTATGGGTCAAGATGTGGTCTTTTCCTGAGGGTTGTATGCTCCTCCTCCTCCTCTTCTTCTTCTTCCTCTTCTCCTCCTCCTCCTTCTTCTTCCCCTTCTTCTTCATCATCACCATCCTCATCATCTGGATAATCCACTAATCTCATTATGGTACTACCAACTGGGCTATCTGTTTCATTAGCAGCACCAGCAAAATGGGAAAAAGTAAATTTGTAGTCATCGGAAGATGTCTTTTTACAAAGATTTACCTTGTCTTCATGTTCCATTGTTTTTTTGATGTCCATAAATTTATCATAAACATCTTGAAAATCATTTTCCAGTGGTGACATTCTTGCTTCTCCTTCCTCTATATTTCCTTTAAACAGACTTCTTTCTCCTCCAAGACTTTGGCACTTCTGAAACACAGTTTACTATTTGCCATAGAATTCAAATGCTTCTGTACTTGACTTTTTCGGTTTTTCTCTTGTTCATGTTTAAACTTCAAACCTTTGAATGTCTGAACATATTCAATCCCTTCAAGTTTTTTGTAAAACTTTTCAACTATATGCTCAATGAGAGACTTTACATTTTCTGCTCTTATGTATTCAAACAGTGAAAGGGCAGCTGAATTCAACATATTGTACTGAGTTCCATTATCCAGAAGAACATTTACAACTGGCTCAAAAAGATTTCCCTTGATGATGTACCTATTATAAATTTCATCTTTAAGGCCAATCATGCTTCTCATAAGACGAAGAGCACATAAGACCAGGAAAGTGTGCCTTGATCTCATTAAGATCAAGACATTTCTTAGTAAGTCTTTTCTCAAAATATAGTGTTTAATGTAATATGTGTGATTTTGCACACAAAATGTGAGCATCTCCAAAATTAAGCTAAGCAGATGTGCTGTTTGGTAATTATTGAAGCAATTTTTGTTGTTTTTGTCAGCTCCAAATATATGATCCTCTTCAAATATATCTCTTGAAGTAGCGGCCAAAAGTGGTGCTATGAAGTTATGCATACATCGTTTATAGAAAAAATTTAGAAATCTACTTCTTTCACACTTAGGTGTTATTAACATATTGCCTGGATCAAGTAGATAACGAAGAAGTTCCAATATAAGAACAGCACCTGCTAGCTCAGGATCAGTATCACAGGTCATTTGTTTAATTACTAAATTAATGAGAAGGTTGCCTTGTTCATTCTGCTGGGCTTCTTCTATTATGAATTCTCAGATCATGGATGGACTATGCTCTACTAGGTAAGAAAATATGTCAGTAGCAGCCGTCCTTATTTGCAAATCATCCAGGCTCATTACAGTTTTCAGAGTAGGAAGAATTCCCACTTGTGTCAATGTTGTGAATAGTGCATCCTTGCTTTGAGGCTTTAACATCTGACTGAATGTACAGAATTCTTTGAAAAACAGTATCAGTTCATGTCGTTTATCATTATTAGTAGAATTTGCCTTTAACTGTGTGAAAACTTGAGGCAAAATGTTGTCATCTCTCTGCAGCATGTGGACTATCTCCAACTTGTTGAAGAATATAAAAGTTTTAAGAGCAGAGAGACAATTCTCTTCCATCACAAATGATGCAGACAAAAGGATGTGTTGAATATACTGTACCCTGTACGTTTGGTGTATTTTTTGCCTAAGTTTACAGGCTGTTATGGGTACAACTTCCTTAAACTTTGCATTTTGGGTCAAGAATTCTCGATGCCTTTTTGGCTGAGGCGAAGTAGGGTCATATTCAAGGCATCCCACCACATTCATGATACACTCATCAGAAAACATGGTTTCAAGCAAAGACATCTTGTTGAGAAATAAGATTCCTTTCATAATTGTGTGCAAGTGGTATAAGCCTTCAGTGTATCCTAGCTTCTCACAAGAGTAGAATAGCTGCAGTAGTTTTTTAATATAGTTCTCATTTTCCAAGATCAAGGCCACCTTTCTCTTACTGTCAGACGAAGAGAAAGCCGAGATTACAAAGCTAGCAATTTTTTCAAGTTCACTGAGTTCACAGTTAGGCAGGTCATCCATATTATCAGTTTCTAGTGTTTCCTCAGAGATTTCTACATCATTCAAGAGGTCCTGTGTAATACTGACTAAAGAGTCTTTACCTTGAATGCGGCAAATGTCTTCCCAGATTTTCTGACAACCTGCTTCTTCTTGGAAACTCAGTGCCGTTCCATGGTTCTCAGCTTCAGACCAAACAATTAAGGTGTCCTTTGGTTTCTGACATGGTGTGTCTGGCAATATCTTCGATTCCAGGAGTAATGAGCCACTGGACTCTGAAGTAACTAATAGAGACATGCCCTGGGATTGCATGTCAACTGAGGTGACATACCCTGTGCCTTGATTCTCCCACTGTATGCGGTCATTCAGGGCATAAAGTTTTACAGGGTGACTCTGTTTGTTCTCCATGGCGACCTTGGAGTCTTTACCTCAGCACTGCTCTCCAGGAGGGCCTCGTTGCACAAACACTCAGTTTCAGCGGTAGCTGTCGCTGTTGTGGCTGCTACGGTGGCCGATGTGACTGGTAGGGAGAGTCGGAGAAGATGGCGGCTAGGGGCTCATAGGAAGAATCTCAGAAGATGGCAGCTTGCAGTCAGGATCGTATGGACGCTGGTGGCTCTGGAGGTCAGTAGGGTTTCCCAGAGTCCTGCTACATCTCACTTCCTTTTCTAGCTCCACGTACTCTTTCCATTTTGCTTTCCCATACTCTTTCTTAATATAAGCTTCAAAACCGAGACTCTCTCAGCCTGCTCACAGCTGTCTAGGAAAGTGTAAGTTACGGCAAGATTCGACTCAAAAGGAATGTTATATATGTAATAATGCGAGTTGCCACCCAGCTTACAAATGGAGGTTTAGGAATTAGAACCAAGAGCATTGTTCTTTTTATGATGTTTTGTTTCCCAGAAACATTTTCATTCATCAGGTGTCTGGGGGTGGATACTTAGGATCTTAGACAAAAGAAAGCTTAATCATTTATGTTGATGTCCTTATCAAGTCCACACTGGACATTATATGTTAAAAAGGCTCCCTCACCCATCCCAAAAGAAGCCAAGAGCCTTGTGACCTGTGAACTATTAGCAATACTCAGAGATCTATAGTTGGGTTTTGTGCATAGAGCTTGGCCTAAACCTGTATCACTTACTTACTTATCCATCCTTGGGTGAAGAAGGGACTTGGAAACTTCACTCTGTTCAGCTCACTCTGAAGCTCTCTCTTTCAGAGGAAATGGGAGAAATTTTTCTCAATTTTTTTTGTAATGTATAACTACACTCCCCATTCTTAGGAAAGGAGTGTGCCAGAAGGAAACAGTTGAAATTAACTGAGTGACTACTGAACATCACAGATCAATTGTTCTATTTCTTAATAAATATAGTAACAAAATCAGACACAACAACTAGGCAATAATACTTGAGTGCTCATTATTATAAAGAAAAGTAATATTATAATTGATCAAATATACTTCAGTGCTTATATGTTCGACACTTTGACAAAAACTTTTATATCTGTTCTTAGTTCATTTTCATACTAACCTAGTGATATAGGAGTATTAAGCATCCTTTCAACATCAGGAAACAAATTTAGAGAAGTTAAAATAAATCCACAAAGGTCACACTGCTAATAAGGTGAAAAACTAATTTGAACATATCTTTTTGATTCCAGAATTGGTTTTCTCAGCCACTGAACTATGCTATCTCCTTCTTTTCTTGGCCTTCATTACACTTTATTTCACATTCCTTCCATCTATATAATTTGTAATCAACATAAAATTATCAAGAGAAGATGAAAGTCAAACACTTCCTCCTTTAGATCCACATCTGTGTGTAGCCAACTGAAAAATAGAAGCTTGTATATGACAACTCTGTTGAATATAATTTTAATAGTAACCAAGTTGATTTTTGATGTAGCAGCAAGTTCTGTAGTTTTCTTTAAAAAAAAAATTCCCCAAAGCATTAACCCTATTATTACAAGAGAAAAACTGAGAATTGTGTCACATCAAGCACATTTGGACTTGAAGAGAATCCCATTTGTAACAATCACTTCATTTTACATAGCATTGGAGGTGTGTGACAGCTCTTCACTAGACACAGAAAAAGTCTTTCCCACACCTCTCTTGCAGTTGTAGCCTCCAGGAGATTATAGCACAGGAAAATTCCCCGGGACAGTACAGCTGGGGCACTTAGGAACTGAATGCAAATGACAATCATTTCATAAGAAAATTCAAATCAATGCCAGGATCATCTGGTTTAGAAACATTTGCAAATTATAAATAACACTCAGACATAAGGATTAACAAATAACTACTACCAAAATTAATATATGTACTAGTTTAAAGCATGTGTCTAGTTTCAACAAGAGGGAATATGCAAATATGTAATAACAATAATGACATGCATGCTAGTGCCCAATTTTTTCCTCTGCTGTGGTTGTATTAAAGTTTCTATCAGAATCAATTATAGTACTTATCAAGTGTCTGAATCTGCTTTCAGGTTTCATTCTCTGAGAAGCAGTCAGCACAAATTTCTGTGTTCTACCAATTTTATCACAGGGAGCTTCCCTTAGGCCAGTTAAGGTCCCATTATCTTAACTAGGTTACTTAGAATCTCTTTACAGTCTAAAAGAGCCTTAAGTCTGCATTTCTTATTGCTATTCCTGCAGTAGATTCTTTCAGTTACTGTCTTATTTGGCTTGGGAAGTAGACAATACACTTTTTTGCTTCCATAGTTCTACCTACCTAAGATTATTATGTTTTGCTGTAGTTTTACAGAGTGCAAGGTAATAGGAATGTAAAAATGCCCTATTCCAGGGGCCATGCAATCCCTTCTATAGATATTATTTATTTTTTCTGTAATCCTTATACAAAAATGCCCTGAGGAAGATATTTTTACTACTATATTAGAGAGGAAAAACTTGAAACTCCAAAACCGAGTTGAGCATTTGGTTCAAACCTCTGCAGAAAATAATGGTGCTAGAATTTCAAAGTAAACCTGTAGAGTTCCAACTTGGTGTTCCCACTGTGCCCTGCTTTCTCTTAGAATATGCATACATCATTATGGCACATGTTTAAAACAATATAATTTTTATCCCAACTATCATTGCTATTTGAAGGAAAATCATTGGGGCAGGTTCAAAATCAAGATTGGGCAGATTTACTCTTAAGACTCTGAATCTCTCTTCTGTTTTGCATGCCTGTCTCTTTCATTCTTCCTCCCTATGACGTTAGGGTAGTCAGAAGTAATTCTTGATGACTCTGCTCTGCAAATACATCACTTTAGATAAAAATCTAATTCATCCACATTTTATAACTACTAAGGGCTTAAATTTTATATTTCTTAGGGCATTTTAGAAGATAATAAAGTAATGAGTCATGCATTCTGTAATTTTAGGTATAGGTAACACAAACTACATGTATTTATGTATCATATTTAAATATCTAAATATTCCATCTATAAGAAGAGAGAACGTAACATATTGGGAAGAGCAAGGTGATTTTTAATTTTATGAAATAACATGAAAATAGAATCATTCAAATGTATCTGCTCTAAAATTTTCAACTTCAAAATCATTAGCAAAAAACACACTGCGTGTTCTCTAGAAGTTCTCCAGGTAACTTAGTTAGTGGAGTGTTGCCTTTTTTGGCCGCCATCATCTCTAATTTGGAAATCTGTAATAGCCTCCTCTCCTTGCTTCTTTGTTTTCCACCCACTAGTACATTCTCAACACAATAGCCAGAGAGGATTCATTTAAAACATGCCATGTCCTCCTACTTCTCTGCTCAAAATAATTGTATTTGTGCCTCACTTAGAATAAAAGCCAAAGTTTAGCTGTGGTTCAGAAGGCCCAACAAATCCTGACTCCGTCAACCTATCTGAACACTTCACTTAATAGTCTCTCTTTCCCTTATTTTGCTCCAGCAACACTAGCCACCTGGTTTTGTCTGAAGCACATCCAGCACCCTCCTGCCTCAGTGCCTTTGCAACTTCCCTTTATTCTACCTGGAACACTATTTCTCAATATTTACCTGATTCATGCCCTCACCTCATTCAAAGTAATTCCAATGCCCCCATTTTTTCCCCAGTGAGACCTCTCTTAACCACTTTTTTAAGTTGCAGAGACCCTTAATTCCAATCTATTTGTTTTCTTTGATGTATCCTTTCTCCATAGCACTGAGCATCATTTGACTATTTTGTATTTCATTTATTCTGTTTTCTGCAACCAGATTATCAGCTGTATGAGGGCTATGATTTGCCTGTTCTTTTTTCTCACTGACGTGTGCCTAGCAGTTGTCATAAGACATGATATATAGTAGTTTCTGAACAATCTGTTTTTAAATAAGTATGTAAATGAATACACATTCTTCTTAGGATGGCTTCCAATAATCTATTTATTCCTCTCATAGTTATTGAGTAACCCCTATGAACAGGCCCTATACTAAACACTGAGGATAAACCATTGATTTGAAATTTATTCCCAGTCCTCTTCTGGAATAGATAGATAGTTTTAACAGGAGATATTTCTCATTTACAAGATACATCTGACATTTCCTCTGCTGCCCAAAGCTCACTCTTTTGGATAGTTTCTTCTTATTGATGATGACCAAGAAAGCAATATCTGCCTGTTTTATTCTATTAATTGCATGAAAAACTAGTTTATTGAATAAGCTGGATGTTTTTCTCCATGTTCTGTCAAACATCCCTTCCCTGACTCTGGATTAAATCTCAGGTAGAAGCTACAGCTAATATTAAAATATGCAGTACATTTCAAGCTTCTGTTTGTGTCATGTCTTGTCCAAAGCAAATCCATGGCCAAACCTATAGTCAAGGGATGGGAAAGCATGTCCCACTTAGAGGTGGGGGTGTCATAGAAAAATACATAATAAAGGGTGTGGATAGAAGGAAGGATGAAATATGGGGGATATTAAAGCAATATTACACAAGCTTGAATAAAAGAGGTATAAGCCAGAACTTCCATGGGCAAAGAGGAACATTTATATGGTCACCCTATACATAGAACTTCAAAATGTGTGGATATTTAAAACCTTTCCTTCTCAGTTGAAAACACCATCCTGTTCTGTGTGCATTGTATCAGTGCTGGCTGTTATCTTCCCAATGCTCAGAGGTCAGAACCTCTTCATGTATTTTCTTGGATCCATAGGCAGTTTCTATTAGCACTGGCACATTTCCCATTGAGAATCTGGATTCCTTGGAACCTCCAAAATCTTTTGCTTATACTGCATAAATTTAAAGGAAGAAATAAAAAGGGATAAATGTTCTCTTGACTTCGTGTAAATTTTATTGTGTTTATTTTTTAAATATATTTTATTGATTATGCAATTACAGTTGTCCCATTTCCCCTTCACTCACCTCCACACTGCACACCCCCTCCCACCCACATTCCCCCCTTTAGTTCAT